TCCTGCCAGCTCAGGCTGCAGGAGAGGGAAGAGGACTAATATTTCCTAAGCAGGGACTGGGGGCCAGGCACTGTTCCAGACCTTTACCATACCTTACTTCCCACAGATGTCTATAACAGCCTTCCATGGTAAAGCTTGTGTTCAGAGAGTCTAAGTGAATTGCCCAAGGTTACTCAGTTAGTCGGAGGCAGGGCTGGGATTCACCCCTGAGGCGGCTGTTACCTCTAATACCCCTCTGTGTGGCCACCAGCTTGACCAACTCAATGCCCCTCTGACATGTCAAAGGCTGGCAGAAGCTTCTTTTTCTCTTTCTCCTTCCTGTTTCAGTGAAATACAGTCCTCAACTCCACAAATACTTACGAGGTTACTAATATGTTCAAGGTACTCTGTTGTGCACAAGTGTATATAGCGTTCAAATGCGATTCAAGAAACTCTCCTAGGAAAGCAGAAGGCGGTTGAGAGGCATGAACTTGGTGGCTGGGAATGTAACTTCAAAGCTCGGGACTGAGGGCTGGCCCTGCCTCTTACCAGCTGTGTGAAGTTGGGCAGGTTTTTTTTAACCTGAGGCTTAGTTTCCTCATTTGTCCAAAAAGGGTAATAGCAATGCCTCTCTCAGAGTAGGCAAATCCTTGAAAAAGAGCCTGGCACAGGCTAAGGGCTCAATAAATAAACGATTATTATTGTCTTTAGTTTATTATTATTGCCAGCTGTAGTAGATGCCCTAGGAAACAGGCCACAGCATTTCATAAGAGTTGATATTTTTATTTATAAAGTGTCACTAGTTTGGTTAAAAATACTACTAAATGTTGTGTTTTGCACTCATTCCCAGCCCCCACAATTCACCCTGCAGAACCCCAATTCTCCTCTCCCCAAAACTATGCTCCCCTTCCTCCTTAGGGAAACTACTTTGTCAGAGTACTGAGCTATGTCCTGAGTATACAGTGAAATGAGATATAAAAAAAATGAAATAAACTCGCCTGTCCTTATTCAGCTGGTCACTCCAGCCTGTTGGTACTATTTGGACATGTCTTCACTTATCCATGGCCTTACAAACACTCTTTCCTCATACGCAATGCTTGGCATAAAGTTCACACTGGTCGCCCGGAAATGTTGCCAAAGCCACTGTGGGACCAATGTACACAACTGCAAAGCTTTGAGAGGTTTCTGATTAGAGGAGCAACTTAGACCCTTGAAGGGATCTTGGTGGGGGTGGGGGTTTGGTGTCACTCACCTGCCTGCCAGGGCAGCAATCTTTTCACTCACAGGCCCAGGTGATTCTAGAACATTCCTATAGAAAAGGATATTTGTATTTACGTGTTGTTCTCTTGGGTCCTTTTTCTTTTTTTTGCTGAGGAAGATTTGCCCTGAGTTAACATCCACTGCTAATCTTCCTCTTTTTGTATATGAGCTGCCACAACAGCACAACCACTGACAGACGGGTCCATGCCCAGGAACCAAACCTGGGTCGCCAAAGTGGAGCGTGCCGAGCTTAACCACTAGGCAACCAGGGCTGGCCCTTGGGTGCTTTTTCTTGGCCAGCAAAACTGAGGGCCATGAATGTAATAATACAGACCCATACATAAGCTTATGGGCCCATTGAGGGTCCTAGAAGGAAAAAAAATGTAAGTAACAAAGAAAAGTAGACTTAGTAATCTATAGATTCACTTAAGAGGCAATAACACTAAAATAAGTTTCATAATTTTATTTGAAAATTTTAATGTGTTTACGTGAACTGTTAAGATATACTGACATAAAAGAAAAAAACACAGTCGACTTTTACAGGTCTGCAGAAATAGGCTAGCCAGTCCATCCACGTGAACTGTTTCATTTCTGCACTACTATTTATTTTGAAGAGATACAAAACTGAAGGAGAAGGGAAGCAACTCTGAAAAGAATAATGCGGTATGTATAATTTAGTAATATGAATCAAGAGCCATAAAAATGTCCATACTCCAATGTAAAAGTTAAATTTGGGGATTAGTTAATCTAAGAGATTAATTTAGAATATGAAAAAAGCCACATAAACATTATTCATCACTCTGTTATTGGTAGGAGTAAAAATTTGAAAGCAATCTTGATTCCCTATAATAAGGATAAATTACTAAATTCCTAGTCAATAAACTACTGTGTACCTTTTAAGATAATGGTTATGACAATTATGTGACAACACAGAAAATACTTAAAATGTCAGGCCTTAAGAGAAAAGAGCTGAAGATTACACTCCCCAAATGAAAAGATGGAAAGGAAGTATATCAAATCATAACAGCTGTGCTTGGGTAATGGCATGATGGTAGTTTTTTCCATCTTTTCGCTCATGATTATTTTAATCCATTTCCAATTTTATAAATTGGAAAATCAATTAAAAGCACATGGCTTCATGAGGGATTTCACATAGGACAAAAATCACACAGTTATTGCAATTTTCGGGGGACACGCATTTGTTCTGAGAGTTGTTGGGGTGCTTGGAAAGACAGTGGAATAATAGCAAGAGAAACTAGATCCTCCTGCCCCCAGCTGCCAGTAATGCAACCTAGGGTTTCAAGAACCAATTTCTGCCCATTCAAAGTGTGGCTTGTCCCTGGAGACTACCACCCGCAGGCCATTGTGATGGTGATGGCTGGGATGTGGCCTGGCCTCCCCAGCGGCCCCGAGAGGCTCAGGCATTTAATGGAGGAGCCCTGGCAGCTGTCTCGGCTTGGGGTTGCTGGTCATCAGAGACAAGGCAGCCTGTGCGATGTTGACCTGGAGGTGAACGTCCCCTTTCTCATACCCACTCCCCAGAGGCAACAGTCCCTCATTAGGGTGCAGTTTCTAATCCAAACAGCCATTAATCTTTCTCAGGTTAAAAGGCCAGAAAAGCAAATTTTGCGCTATTTTAATACTGTACTTGTCTGTATTTTACAAGAGCAGACTTACTTCATTGACCACTGGAAAACACCCCACAGCTGTGTCCACAGCTACACAAACAATGCCAAGCCCAGCACAGTCCTCCCTGTGCACAGAGAAGGGGCAGAAGTACAAAATGAGTCGGCTATTCATTGTGGCACTTGACAAAAATCATACAAACATGACCTATTTGAAACAAATTAGTATTCCGTATCATGAAATAAATTAGGGATGTGCATGTATTTAAGTAAAAATGCCACCATATAGTGGTGGTATTTTATAAAGTAAAATTATACAAACTCTTGAATATTATTCTTTTAATTTTCCTTGATTTCGCAAGTGAATTAATCTACTTAAATGGAGCTGTAACCCCTAAGAATTTTTTGATCTTTTAAAGGAAATCAATAGAAAAAATAGGATTTAGAAAAATGCACTTAATTGTTGTCTCAGAAGCATCAAAGTGTTTGGTTTATAGAAATGGGCCAAATCTCCCGTCTCATTCTTTTAATAGCTGTTAAGTCAAGAAACACATCTTTTCCATATTCTCAAATTGTAAGGACCAAAATGATGGGTATTAGGATAAAAAACATAAAGCCTTCCTAAATCTGTTTCTTCATGCTTGACCTTTAAATCCTTCCTCTACAGTCATAATCAGTATGAATACCAAACTTCTCCCGATGAGTCACATTGAGACATCTGGCTACTGGTAATAAAGGCATCGAACATTTAAGGGAGACAGAGAATGCATTTTTATATCTCAAATTATTTTACATTAAATTTCCCAAACTCAAAATCTCACATTAGGGATGACGTAATACATAAAATCTAGGCATAGCACTTTCAAGCTGGAAGAGGTCTTGGTGGAATAACGTAAGACTCTGACAGACCAAGGGGCTGGAGGAGAAGCCAGGGCCCTTGACCCCTAGTGCAATGTTGTTCTAAGGATGTCACATCACCTTGCAGAATGTATTACAAAATTTCTAGAGCTTACCTGGACTTTTTGGGGGGTGGTTGTGGGTGACACATACATGTTTTTGCTATGCCAAATATATTATGAGATGCTCATTAACAACTTCTCTAAAGTTTCCTGAAGGATCTCAGATTGGCAGAGAGTTTAGCTGTCCTCTGCCTCATTCACACAGCTTCTGCGCTCAGAATCCATGATTCTTTTGAAAAGCTGGGGGGATTTTAGCTAGGTGTGGTCTGCATGGCCTAGATGAAATTCTGTTGGTACTATCTTATGCTTGCCTTTTGGGCACTTGGTATAAAGAATTTGAATGTTCTTTAGGAATTAAAACTACACCTTGATAGCATTTCCAAGTGAAAAAATAAATATATAGTTATCTATAGTAGACACACATATATATGTATGTGTGTGTGTGTATACACACACACAAAATTGCTGGAAGAACATATACCAAATTTTTAACAGTGGCTACCTTTGGGTGGTGCAACATATTGCATTGTTCATAAACAAGTATTTTGTGTTTATTTTTGTGTTACCAGTTTTTGGTACTAAACACATTTTATGTTTGTAATCAGAGAAAACTCCCAATAAACATTATTTAAACACTATTTAAAAGGTCTCAGGGAAATAAAGACCTTCATAGAGATAAAGTGGGCAGGGGCAGGTCGAATGGCACAGTAATGCCCTTCTCATCTGCTTTTTAAAAGCCTGATGTAATTACGTATCCTTTACTTACTTGATTAAAACTTTAATACAATTTAAAACATGAATAAATCTGCAAGTACACTGAGAGCTAGACTGCCAAAGCTTGAGCAGGCAAACCTCAGGGTGGTCACCTTTGTGTGGAAAAATGAGCCCTAGAAGTTTCTGTAGGCTGGGAGTCATGGGAGGCAGGGGATCATGCTCCCTGGATTTTACTCGCAAGGCTGCTATCTGTAACCTACAACACTCCTTGCTTTTGAATTAATTTATTCTGAGCATCAGAAACATTTTTCCAAAGAGGGAATCACCATGTAGGATGTTAGTGTTTTTCTCGAATAACAATTTATTCACCAGAGGATAAGCCTCTAATATTTTACTCTTTTGGATTTTTTTCACCTTTAAACACCAGTTACCAGTATTTTTGAAAAATAAGATGAAACTGATCTAAGACAGTAAAATGATATTTTTCTTTATTTTCTCTCCCCCCTTTTAAAATTAGAAAATATATGCTTGTTGTAACAAATCCAAACAATACAGATGTTTATAAAATGACAAAATACAAAGTGAACATTTTCTCTTAATTCTCTATACCCAAAATTCCATTTCTCCAGTGACAACTTTCAATATTTTGATGTGTAAATTTTTAATATTTTGATGTGTATCCTTCTTTTCTATATATATAGACATAGATTTATGTATAATTTAAAAAAGTAAAAATCAGACCATACTAATTGTTCTGCAACTTACTTTTTTCCAACTTAGCAGTATATCATGGACATATTCCCAATAGATTTACCTCATTCTTATTAATAGCACTATAGCAGTCCATTGTTTAATATAATATGATTTAGTTATCTATATACTATTAACGAATATTTAGGTTCTTGTAAATCTTTTTTTTTTTTTTTTTGAGGAAGATTAGCCCTGAGCTAACTACTGCCAATCCTCCTCTTTTTGCTGAGGAAGACTGGCCCTGAGCTAACATCCATGCCCATTTTCCTCTACTTTATACATGGGATGCCTACCACAGCATAGCTTTTGCCAAGCAGTGCCATGTCTGCACCTGGGATCCGAACCGGCGAACCCCAGGCCGCCGAGAAGCAGAATGTGCGCACTTAACCACTGCGCCACCGGGCCGGCCCCTAAATCTTTTATTATTAGAAAAAGTGCTTCCTGAAACATCCTGGCCATGTTTCTTTACACACTTGTGTTAGTTCTATAGGACAAATTTCTAGACATGTGATTACTGGGCACAGGATATGTGCGTTTACATTTGACAGATACTGAGTTTTTGCCCATTTGATAAATGGAGCAGTGGCAATCTGTGGGGTTTGGGGCAGGAACATGGACGCCTGAAGTCGGGCCCAAGGTCTGATATGGTGGGCACTTGTCCAGCCTGTTTTATGGAAGCAGCTTGACTTTGAGCATCAGGGAATCTTCTGCAGGATGAATTTATATCATATTACAACTGGAAACAGGTAAGTTATCTGTGGAGACGAAAAGTCAAAGCTCTGGCTGGATCAGCTTCTGTCTTCATAACTGTGATGGCCAATGGTAATTCTGAATTCCCAGTTCAGTGAAAACAAAACCTAATACAGTTTCATTGAAGCTTCAAACAGGGCAGACAGATCCTCTTCTGACTGAGGGCGTGGTGCAAGCTTGGTGACCCTTTCCTGAAACAGTAAACAAAAGGAGTTATCCAGGGCTTTGAAAAGACAGTTTGTAAAGGCTACTAGGTTATGTAAATGAACTTGGTCACAAGAAACAATGACTTGATAATAGCCATATCTTTAAAAATCATATTTCTTGTTGCTTTGTACTAGCGGATCCCCAACTCAGAAGTTTATCAAGTGGTGCCTCTTTCCTAGGAAGCTTTCAAAAGCCATCGCCCTTGTCTTAGGCCCTGGCAAGTCTTCTGCCCAAATGTACAGAACCAAACCAACCTCGGGAAAAACACTTCCTATGATGACAAAACATGCTGGTCAGCAGCCTCTGCCAGGTTCGCCCTGTGCAGAGAGCACTGTCCCAGGCGTAGCCGGTGCTGCCAAGGAAAACAGAACTGGGTTGTCTGACTTCAAAGACTGTAGATTTTGCAACTTGGAGTTAAGGTATATTCAAACGGACTTCATTAGGACATTAACTTTCAGGCTACGGACAATAAGTGACTCCTTCTTTACTATTAACTAAGGTTTTATCTCTACTTTCCCAAATGAATTCAGTGACTTGCTTAATTTCTCCAATGATTGTTGAGTCAAGTCAGCAAAGGTAGCCAGCACATCCTATTGTTATTTATACGCCCGTCAGTGGCTCCAAGATCCCTCTGGGACAGAGAATTAAAAGATATTATAATGACCACCCTATGCCCAAATTTCTGGGCCTAAGTGAAATTAAGACACATGCCAGTTTTTTGGTTCCATTTTCCTGGGTCTCTTGGTCTGTTTTCTCATGATAAGCACTTGTTTGGGAGCATACCTGGTAGAGGAGGGCAGCCCCATGAGGGCGGGGCTGTGTTCATTCTACGCCCAGCACCTACTGGAGTGCTTGACACACAGTACCCGGGTGCTCAACAGTTATTTGTTAATTAATTAATTTGTTAATTAATAAAGATGGTGGGAGGGGGAATACTGGCATCTCAAAATTCACTTACACAAGATAGAACTCTGGTGCCCCCTGCCTCCCATTTTCCTCCTCTCAGAAATGACACCCAATCATTCAGGCAAAAACCTAGGGGTCATCCTTGATTCCTCTTTCCCCTCCCTACATGTTAAATCCATCAGCAAGTCTGCCAGATCTACCTCCAAAATAAATCCCAAATCCAACCTCTTCTCACCTCTGGTTCCACCATAACCGACACTGTCACCCTCACTCTCCTGTCCTACTTCAAAGGCCTCTTAAAGGTCTGTTTCCACTTTTGCTCCACTCTCGCCCCCTAGAGGTCATTCCTTCCAGAGCAGCTGGAGTGATTTTTTCCCCAGGAGTCTGATCACACAATTCCCTGGTTTAAAGCTCTCCAATGACTTCCCATTGCAATTAGAACAAGACCACACCTCGAACGCCACCCTGATCTGGCCCTGCTTCTTGTCCCAGCTTTGACTCTTCTCCCATCACCTCATCTCACTTAGTCCTACGGTACCTTCAGTCCCATGAAAATGCTGATCTTCACCTTGTCTCAGGGCCTTTCCCCTCTGCCTACAATGCTTCTCCCAGATCTTAACGTGGCTGCCTCCACCTCCAGTCAGAAGCCTTCTCTGACCACCCTCGCTGGTGTTCCCTCCACACTGTCCTGCATGAAATCACCCAGGTTTTCCTTCATATCACTAATCATTATCTGAAATAATTTCATTTGTATCATATTTATAGATAAGACTAGATGTCCATTGTCTGTCTCCCCTCACTAGAACGTAGCTCCATGATGGGGGGAAGGACTTTATTCTCCTCTTCACTGTATCCCATACAATGCATGGTTATATAGTAAGACCTCACTAAGTACTCGTCAGGTAAAATGAAGAATGAAAAGAAGAAAGAATGTATATAAACATTAACTGAAAATGGACCTAAATGTAAGAGCTAACACTTTAAAATTCTTAGAAGAAAACAGGGGGAAATCTTTATGACATCGAATTTGGCAATGATTTCTTGGATATGACACCAAAAGCACTGGCAACAATACGAAAAAAAACCCAGATAAATAAGACTATGTCAAAATTAAAAGCTTTTATGCATCAAAGGACACTATCAAGAGAGTGAAAAGATAACAGAAGAGGAGAAAATATTTGTAAGTTGTATATCTGATAAGGGATTAATATCCAGAATATATAAATAATTCTATAACTCAACAACAAAAACCCCCAGACAATCCAATTCAAAAACAGCCAAAGGATTTGAATAAACCTTTCTCCAAGGAAGATATACAAATAGCCAATAAGCACATGAAAAGATGCTCAACATCATTAGTCATTAGGGAAATAAAAGTCAAAAACACAGAGTTACCACTCACACCCATTAGAATGGCTATCAAAAAAAAAAAAAAGAAAAAAAGAGGAGGGAAAATAACAAGTGTTGGTGAAGATGTGGAGAAACTGGAACTGTCATGCATTATTGGTGGGAATGTCAAATGGTGCAGCCGCTACGGAAAATAGTTGGGCAGTTCCTCAAAAAAGTTAAAGGCAGAATTACCAGGTGATCCAACAATTCTATTCCTAGGTATACACCCAAATGAATTGAAACGAGGGACTAAAATAGATGCTTATACACTACTGTTCATAGCAGCACTGTTCACAATAGCCACGAGGTAGAAACAACCCAAGTGTCTATCTGTGGGTGAATGGATAAACACAATATGCTAGATCCATACAATGGAATATCAGTCAGCCATAAAAAGGAATGAAATTCTGAAAGATTGAAGACATTTTGCTAAGTGAAATAGGGCTGACACAAAAGGACAAATACTGTATGATTCCACTTATATGAAGGACCTAGAGTAGGCAAATTCATAAAGGCAGCAAGTAGAATAGAGCTTACCAGGGATTGGGAGAAGGGGAGAACGGCAAGTTATTATTTATCATTAAACAACAGAGCACAGCTTCTATTTGGGATTAGAAAGTTCTGGAAATGGGTAGTGGTGATGGTTTCACAACATTGTAAATGTAATTAATGGCACTGAATTGTACAATTAAAAATGGTTAAAATAGTAAATTTTATGTTAGGTATATTTTACCACAATTAAAATAATAAATAAACAAAGAAGGATGGATAGATAGACAGACGGAAGAAGAACGGGGGCAACGCTGATGAAGCCATGGTAAAATTTTACATCCCAGCAGATCTTTTAGAGATCCTAAAGAATTCTGAAAATCCATAGCAAGGCAGAGACTTGTTCATGGTGACCTACGTATATGTTTGTGGCAGGGTCATGAACTGGAGTTCAGCATTTGCTATGGCTGAAGATTACTGCCACATTATTCTGTTTATAATGGAGACAGTCTTACCTGATGAGCTCAAAGGCCCTTAAAATGATCCTGTTCATCACTGGTAGGGCAGTTCAGGACTCTCAGAAATACTTCAGGCCAAGCTGAGCTGAGTTTCTCTTTCACATTTCTAACCCCCAGTGATTAGTTAAAAGGGAACAAGCATGTAAACTTGTGATATATCTTCACACATATCATCTATACCACACAAAACTAAACTCTCAGAGTTAAGATGTGTTCAGCAATGCACTATTATTTATAGACGTGTAAGACCGCAGGACAGCTGATTAACGTGGGCACTGAAATAAATTCAGACTACTACTTTTAGCACATTCATAAAATAACAACATTTCAGCTGGCCTGTCTGCCAGGGAGTGGAAGTGCTCATTTTGGTAGACAGCTCTCCTCAGTAATGAAATGTTTGGATTTGAAATGTAAATGTTTCTTTCCAGAGGTTTCAGAAATCAAGCTTGGAAGATTAATTTATTCTTGCCTGCTCCCTTGCAGCCTGGCTATGGCGGTTGGAAGCCTCTGTACACAGGGCTGCTATTTGCTGCCACAGTATGGGATGTGGTGTTTGGTCAAGAATACTGGCCTAGTTGTTCCTTCCAGAGAAAAGTGATCCCCCATTCCTGAACATAAAAGAAGCTTTATCAAAAGTCAACTACACGACATAAACTTTTTGGCAAAGTTCTTTGAAGGAATCACTACCTCTCACTGCCTTAAATCCTGTGGATACTAATAGGTGAAGAATAGTCTGCCGCATGTGGAAAAGTCTGAAGTTGCCACAGCATTCCTGTAAAACGTTCACTGCCACCAAAAAGAAACAAAAACCCCATAGTCATTCTTCATCTGCAAAATATTCAAGCTTATTGCTAAGATTCCTTGTAAAGTCCTGTGAACTCTCTCTCTCTATCACATTGCCTCCAAAATGGAACTAGTGTCAGTTAATTAAAATTAACTATGTTTCTCCCAATCACAAAAACATGTTCAAAGGGAAAAAAAGGCAGCATATATCTTTGGGCTGCTTTAGGAATACAGCTTGAGAAATCCTGGCTTCCTGCTTTATAGACATGACTTGTATTCAAAAGATTCAATTTACCTTGCATCTTTTGTGAAACTAAGAAGTCAGTTTTGCCTAATTAAGGTTTTGCTCTCTGTGATTTCCCAGTATGACATGTGCACTGAGGCATTCAGAATGATATCTAATTAACTTGCGATTTTAGTGGATGGTCTCAAATGTTAGTCTGGATCTGCTGCTGTCTGGAACAGCTTCTGAAAGTGAAAGTCTGAGCACAGCAGAAGTAAAACAGTAAACACTTGCCACTGTCTGCTGATGGCTGGAAGATGCATTGCTACCAGCAATTAAATGGCCAAGAATATCATACAGTTTCATTTGAAAATCATAGATCCCATTCTTGGAGGTTGACAAACTCATATACCTGAACACTTTCCTTGGCTAAACAAGCAGAACTTTTCAGAGGACCCTTTGCAAAATGGACATTCTCTCTGGCACCATGCTCTAAGAGGCAGAGGCTACATCAAAATCGTGGTGACCACTTAGTCTCTGGTGTCCCTGGACAGGCTTTCATGGCTCCTTGTCATTGGTTGAATCCTATTAAGTTACGGCATCATCTCAGAGAGTTACCACCATTCAGCCATTAAGCCTACCTGGACAGAAGCTGTAGGAGGAGAGGGCTGTCAGTATGTGTTCATTTAACGTGTTTACTAGCCCATGCCAGGTGCAGTAGAGGATAGATGAGCAAAACAGACAGGCTCCTGCCCCCATGGAACTTACAGTCTAGTCAGTTTGGATAAAATAAATGCGACGGTCATATGTTTTGGCTATTTAGTCCCTTCAACTTGTAGGTTAGAACTAAAGGTTTGTGAGCCTAGGGGCTCTGCTACACTTGCAAACTCCTCTTTTTCTCATTCATTTATATTTTTAGATGCAAGTGAGTCCACTGGGCCTGAATCTAAATCAGGGAAACTGGTGGCCCATGGACCATGTTTGCTTGTGCATTGGGAAATCAAAGAATTCAACACAAACATCCAGATTGCTGATTTTTCTTGAAAATTGGAAGTTCTACCAACACTGGGACCTGAATTGCTGCTTGGAGGTAACAAATTGTAGCTGAAAAGGGACTTACCCAAGGAGGTGGATCATGTGCTTTCCAGCTCACCAAAGTCCCCACCATTCCCTATTGCCTTAAATTACTTTGTTCACTGCTATTACCTACCTGGCTCCTGAAGACCTATGAGTCTGTGAACCCAATCCATACAAATATTATCTTATGTGAGTGGTGAGGTCTTCAACATTCTAAGCACTTGCCAAGTGGGGAAGAAGCTAGTGTGAGGCCTTGCTTAACTGGAGTGGAGTGAGGGAAAAGCACTGTTACTTGTGGTTAGTAGGGTGCTGTGTGAGTGGATATTCCAGATGTGAACTTTGTTCTAATGTCAGGGATAGATCCGTCAACGTCTGAACTTTGGGCAGAAGCACCTTACCCTCATATCTTCATAGGGTTTAAGTGATCCTTCTGTTTCCCATTTGGGGAGGAGGACTCAACGAGCACTCTGGACATGGTGAGCATGGTGTGGTCCACAAACAGAGCGTTCACGGCTCTGGCTCTCTATTGTATAGTGAACTGCAGTGAACAGGGTCTTGGCCTATTAGGATCTGATGCTATATAGCACATGGGTATCTGATCCTAAACGGAAGAGAGAGATCCAATGGGGGATAAATGCTCTTCATGAGAACCTTAGGAGGGAAACTACGTCTATTTGATTCTACCAAATAACAGATGGCAGCTCAGTTTAAATTCTTTAGCAACATTTAAAAAATGAAATAAGACCCAAAGTGACACAGATATGTACACATATGTATATGTATAAAATATACACTCTCCCAAGTATGTTAAAAAGTGGTTTTGTAATAGTCTTAATTTAAAGGCCATGTCTATTTTTCACAAAATAGTAGGAATTTGTAACTCTTTATAACAGAAAATAATATTAGTGGCCCTTTGGAACAGCTTCACATGCTTTTATAGGGGACTCTTGAAAGAGCAGAAATGGAGAAAAGGGAAATTTTGCCAAAGCTCAAGATAAATTTGGTTGGTTTTCCCTTGAATTTTTATAAAGGATCATTTTAGTTACATCACGAAAACTTCACATAAGCCACAATTTTATGGAAGAATTTAAGGTGAGGGAGCCTTGGCCCCTTCCCACAGGGGAAGGGGAGAGCTGCTGCCTGGTGTGGAGGAGGACTGAGAGCTGCCAGAGGACCCGTGGGTTTCATCTCCCCTAAAACGTCTCAAATGGACCATGTCTTCCCTTAGCTTCATGCTTCTTAGAAGGGAGTAAAGATGCGCTGTGTCTCTTACCTGGGGCAGTGTTCCTTTCACTAATGCGGGGATATCAGCCTTGGAGTAACCAATGGAAGCTAGGCCATCATCAACATCCAGATCGAATAAGAATTTCCGGAGTGTGTCTGCCAAAATAGGCCCAGCATCTGGGATCCTGGCAGTGTGGGTGTCAGCTCCTACAAGACAAAAAGCACTGACTGGAGAGAGAGGAGGAAGCTGGCCCTGGGTGTAATTCAGTCACAAGATAGCTGAATATATAACCTACTGCTGGCTCCCTGACACTGAGGACAAGAGCACAGCTGTGCCTTCACATGGAGGCTTGCCCAGCGGTCAACCCCGCAGAAGACAGATGGGGCCAGGCCAGCCTGTGGAACCCGGCGAACCTCTGCAGAGAAGTCAGCTGGGGCGGCTAACTTGGCTCTCACATTTCCAATGGGCTGCTCGCCCCCTGTGTGGTGGGAAGAAGAGAACAGAGCCAAGAAAAGAGGCACAGGAAAAAGACCAAGAAAGAAGGCTGGTGTTTGCATGAGGAGGAAGGAGCATTTGTAGGAGAAAACACAGCTTATGTAACTGTCAAGGCTTGGAATTTGCTGACATCTAGAGGTAGGTGTGTTCAACGTCTTTTCTCACAGCAACCTCTTAGGAACAGAAGACAAACCCTTTGCAAACACCTTGTGAGACGAGGATACATATAAGTACAAAAACTCCAACATTAACTGCTGAAAAGGAGGAAAAGGACAAGAACAGAGTATGTGTGGCCACAGAAGAAAATATTTCCTCTCTATAGTTAAAACTTTTTATTTTGGAGTCTGTTGCCAAAGGGCAGGGCAGAAGGTTCGTCTAAATAAATATTACAGAACCAGTCAGACAGAATGAAGGACATGAAGACTGAGAAAACAATATTTAATGCACAGATAATAATGATATTGGCGAAAGTGGAAGAAGGTTGCCAAGGGTTGGAGATCTGTAAGGGCAGAATTTGGATAGAATTAATAACAATATACAAAATCATGGAGACGTCAATCTGGAAGAGCCCAGAGTTTGCCTTTAGGCAGCATAGCAGTGAAGGTTTCCAGGAGCTGATCCCAAACCCTTAGCACCCCTGCCCTCCATCTATTCTATTGAATACATTCACTGCCAGGGAGTGAAGCACTCTACAAAGGGAATATAGCATTATTTATCATCCAAAATGCCTCATGCTGTAGTCCAAGTCCACTTTCTCTGTATTGTCCAAAAGGAGACTAGAATGTATGGTTCACCTCCATACTGAAGCACATGATTGAATCAGCTTTGATCTTTCTCTTCTGTGACAGTGAGAACTGTTTTAGTAATCTAGGAAAAGGTTTAAATAGAACCAGATACTGGACTAGTTGGAAGAGCAGCTGGATGGAAGGTAAACCTTGCCTGAGAAGACCAGTCTGTAGTCCACAGCCACCGTTACAATATGGATTAGGTGGAGAGGCAACACATGATACAGGGTTTATGAGGTTTTTATATTCCTGGGATTGCTGCCATAAAACACACCATCAAAACCTCTGAGTTTCCTATGAAACGTTTTAGAAAAAAAGAGACGGTAGGAAAGAGAATAAATCGCTATAAAGCTAAGAAAATCTAAGATTACATAGAGAATCAAAATACTTAACAGCTAAGTATGGAATAATAATAAACAAAATTTCCTATGCAAGAAGAAAGAATTAGTGGGCTCTTTCAGCCTGGGTTTTGTCTAACAGAGGCATTGCTCTCTCACTAATTTTGTGAGTTGCCTGGAATGTCAGCTTTAAGTTCTCTAAGAATTTCTCTTTCACCATACATCTAGCCTACTACTTGGGCTCCTTCCCATTTACACTGTTTGCATATTTACGAAGGCAGCTGAGTCCCAACAATTGGCTGAACAACATCCTCAGTCCAAAAGGGAACAGGAATACAAGATCCTTGGTACAGTCGGCACCACATTTCCGGCAGCACAAGCTGGGAGATCAAGCCCCCGGCACTGCTTCTCTGCCCCGGGTTTCTTTCATTAACATTCCTGGCACAGCACCTGGAACTCTGCAAAAGCCCCAATGTCAGAGTGTGAGAGAGAAGTGGAAGGGAAGCAGCACACACAGAAGGATGCCTGTGGTCATTCCTACCTTCTTGGAAATAATCTCTCCAACGGCTGGTGCTAGAAGAGCATAATGAAGTTTTCTTTTTAGCCTTTCCCTTCCTACCCTACACACAATTAGAGGAATAGATGTTTTGAAAGTTAATCAAATACTCAAGTCTACTTAAAAGAGTTCTCGTCTTAGAAAAATACCAAAATTTTATTTAACTGAAAGCTATCCTTAATACAATCTTATTTCTTGTAAGATCCAAAAGGCACTGTGGATATCTTATTAGAGACATTATTTATTCCACAGAGCAGCAAACAAATTCTTCTTTTGGGATCTCTTTATAAAGTTTCTAGTAATTTAGATTCTCTATAATTGGGAATTTACTGTTACTTCCTAAGTTAGATTCATTTTATTACCTATTAAACATAGCAAAAGCCAATTATAACATTAATAGTATATAAAGAGTTTCACTTTCCTTAGGGATGAAAACAGTGGAAATATTATTACTACAAACCTAACATAAGCAATATTTTGTTCCATTTGATTGTTAATGGGCCATTGAAAACAAAATTACAGAATTTTAGTGCTAGACAGGACTTTGGGCAGGTTTCTTACATTTTATCATTAAACTATCTCAAAGCAACATTTATAGGTATTATCCTTCATGGTTTATCTTTAGAAGCAACCCTAGGAAATGTTCCACATATGTGGTCACAGATTTATGAGTAATGATTCATACCCAATATTTCTGCTGTTTCCAGGTGCCTCTCAGGAGACATCTGTGCCGTGAAAGAGAACACCGCTGGGGAGGTGAGCACCACAGAAAGGCCGTGAGGCTGGAGAGAAACGAAACATGGTGACCGATGGGGCAATGCCGGTCTTTAACCTGCACATTCTAGATATTAAATTACCTTACCCTATAATCAAGCTTACTCCAAGTAATCAAGAATTGACAAATACATTTATGGTAATTGCAAAGACTATAAGATCTAATCAAAGAATTTATTATGAGTTTACCACCAGTGGGTGATCCACATTATAATCCTTTGCTTTATATGTCTTCACTAAGCCTGAAATTGGGTAAGACATTCCATGGCTAGAAAAGAAAGAAAGTCCTTATGTTGACATATAGATATCAGAAATTCAAGTTAACAAAACAAAGATACTCTTATGGGACAGCCCTTCACAGTCTCTTGACAATATTGTTCTCTCACAAAGTTATACATTCCATTTTCTTTGATATAAAGATATATTATGATGCATTTGACATTTGGTCTATCATTAACAAAACTTCTGAAATATTCAAATATAAACGCTCCATAGAATTGTACGCCATTAAAAAGTGTTGATGCAGAAGTTGCTCCCCAAACACGTTGGTTAACCTTATTATCTTGAAGAAATTGAGAATTCACTTTGAAATTTCTTTAATAAGCTTCAGAGCATGCATTTTCCATTTAGCTCTGCACTGCCTTGGCAACATGCTCCTGCACAAGCTGACGATGTTGGTGGGAGTTTTACGAGCCAAGATGTACTGCATTAGACATGCAAGCATGGCCCGCCAGTGATCCTTCCCGCCAATAATTGAAACATCCTTTCAAATGTTACATACTAATGGAGTTGAATCATAAATGACTATTCTAGCCTGAAAGGCTATCAAGAAAAGGCAGCATGGTTTTTATTTGTGGGTTTTTCTTGTGGTTTATTTTAATGGAAAAACTCTTTATATCCTCTTGAATTCTTAGTGAACAAATAGGACAATGTTATCGTTTACTAGATGACCCAGAAGATATACATTATGAGAAGTTAATATATTTACAATTAATATATTAAAAATGAAATGCTTTAGAATAGCAAAATGGTCTATAAGTCTTTTAATGTCGGTTATTAGATGACTTTGTGCTTATTCACCAAAAGATTTACATTTCATAGAAGGATGACGTATTTTGGTGAACTGTATGACTACCTATCCAAAAAAAGGTACTCTTTGCCTACTCTCTTTCAGGAGGCAGAGCAGAAGCTATCAGTTCTCTGAGTTGTTGGGTGCTTAGCAATGTGCTTTGCCTTGCTCAGGCTCCACAGTATTAGGAAAATTATTGCTTAGTGTCCTTTCATGACATGAAGGGGTTCATGTAGCTTTCCAAAGTACCTTTCTAACAATATCCAATATTTCAGTTTAACAGTTGTATATATGTTCTTTGTAAAAAATAAAAATTATCCATAATCCTATTTCCTCAAGATAACCTTTATATAATATTTTCTTCTAGTCTTTTTATGCATATCTTTAATTTATGATCACATTGGGCATACAGTCTTAAACATTGCTTTTGTTATTTAATATTCTTTATAAACATTTTCCCATATCATTTTCTTTTTTTTTCTTTCTTTTTTTAAAAGATTTTATTTTTTTCCTTTTTCTCCCCAAAGCCCCCTGGTACATAGTTGTATATTCTTCGTTGTGGGTCCTTCTAGTTGTGGCATGTGAGACGCTGCCTCAGCGTGGTTTGATGAGCAGTGCCATGTCCGCGCCCAGGATTCGAACCAACGAAACACTGGGCTGCCAGCAGCAGAGCACGTGAACTTAACCACTCGGCCACGGGGCCAGCCCCCCATATCATTTTCTATTCTTTTAAAACACTATTTTTAATAGCCTTATTTTATTCTTTGAGTACTGAACTTTAGTTTACCATTCCCAGACTGTTGGAAATTTAGGTTGTTTCTAAAATTTTCAATTATAAATAACACTTAGGTGAATATCCTTAAAAGGAAATTCTTTGATCATATCATGATTATTTCTTTAGGCTACATTTCTAGAAGTAAAATTAGTGGGTCAAAGGGTATAAACATTTTCAAGCTCTGGGTAGATTTTCATCACTTGCTTTTTGGAAAGGTGGTGCCAATCTATGCTTCTCTCAGCAACAGAGTTTGAGGGTGATTTTTTCATTGCACCCTCCCTAGAAAAGACCTATTCTTAATTCTCAGTGTTCATTGGTATTCAATTTTAAGGCAACATAACAACAAATTTCTGATCAAAAAGATTAATTCTGGGCTATTGACAAAGATTCTGATCCTTCTCTTTTTGTGAGAGATCAGGAGGAAAAAAACCCTGCATTTGAGGTTTTAAAAATCCATGACATATGGCAAGGATGTGGAGAAATCAGAACCCTCGTCCACTTTGGTGGGAATGTAAAATGGTGTAGCCACTGTGGAAAACAATATGGCAGTTCCTCAAAATTTAAACGTAGAGGCACTATATGACCCGGCAATTCTATTCCTAGGTATATATATTCAAGAGAAATGAAAATATACGTCCACACAAAAACTTGTACATGAATGTTTATGGCAGCAGTATTCATAACAGCCAAAAAGTGGAAACAACCCAAATGTCCATCATCTGATGAAAGGTATTTGGTATATCCATACAATGGAATGTTATTTGGCAATAAAAAAGAATGAAGTACTGATACATGCATGGATGAACCATGGAAACGTTATGCTACGTTAAAGAAGCCAGGCACAAAAGACCACATATTATATAATTCCATTTATATGAAATGTCCAGAATAGGCAAACCTGTAGAGACAGAAAGTAAATTAAGACTACTTAAGGGGCCAGCCCAGTGGCACAGCAGTTAAGTTCCCGTGTTCTGCTTTGACAGCCTGGGGTTCACCAGTTTGCATCCCGGGTGCAGGACCTACGCACTGCTTATCAAGCCAGGCTATGGCAGGCATCCCACATATAAAGTAGAGGAAGATGGGCACAGATGTTAGCTCAGGGCCAGCCTTCCTCAGCAAAAAAGAGAAGGATTGGTGGTGGATGTTAGCTCAGGGCTAATCTCCCTCAAAAAAAAAATGGCGGAAAAAAAAAGACTGCTTAAGACGGGTGGGTATAGGAGGATTGGTGGGTGATAGCTAAGGGGTATGGGATTTTTTTTTAGAGTGATAAAATGTGTAAAATTGATTGTGGTAATGGCTGTACAACTCTGTAACTATAAAAAAACCACTGAATTACATATTGTAAATGAGTGAATTATATAGTGTGTGAATTATATTTCAATAAAGCTGTTACCAAAAAAAAAATCTATGATCCAATAAACTACATTTGAATTAAGAAAATATTCTGGGACCTTAAATTAAATTTCTTCTTTCTATAGCATATTTAAATCTTACCACCTGTCCTAAATTGTAAACATTTTTTTAAAATCTTAAAGTAATAGCTTAGGTGAAGAAATAAAATCTCAGATTCGCTCACCACAGATGAACCCCGGCATTTCCAAAGCCAATGCCAGCGAAAGCACTTGCCAAGTGCATGTTAGACCTCGCTTCCAGATCATCAGGATTCCTGACAGCCCTGTGGATGATATAAACACCTAACAATAACACATCAACACTGGCATTTCCTACTGAATAAAGAGCCGCCTTAGGGAAAGATCTGGAAAAAAAGAAATGCTACTCGGTAGGAAGAAAAATTAGGCAAGTTGTTCAAACAACGTCTTGTTTTCTAAAGGAAGACGGAAGAGAAACATATTTTCTCATCAACGGTATCAGAAAGGCATAATAAACATGCTGTCAGGCTGCTCACGTGATAAAAGTGCCAGAGGAAGCCAACCACTGACCCTTGGATGGTGAGAGCTGCTCTAGAAAAGGGCCCTGAGACTCATTCTTCTTCTTCATCTGTCAATGACCTTGACTGCAGCCATGAATGGGCTTGGAGTAAACATTTACTCAGAAGGCACAGGGCCCAGACTGGTTCCCTGAAGTGCGTCCCCGTCGCCTCAGGCAACCTGCAGGCCAAATGCAGTCTGCTCAGCCATCTTTCTTTCTGTGACACTGTCCCAAATTGGACCCACTGGAGACCTCTTTTGGAATCTGTGGAAACTGCACATTATTTTAATATTTATTATTGTGGAAGTGGGATGTTATTGTAGGACAAGCCTTTGCTTGCTCTGCATGTCCCCAACGGCACTTTGGAAAAGCAAATTCTCAAAGGCCCCTTTCTGCAGCTCAGCCTCCCTGCACACTGCTTGGAGACCCTGCCCCAGGGAGGAAGCCTGAGACTGCCAAGCGCACGGCTTCTCACTTGCTTTTCTGTGACTTTGCCTGGAGTAATGCTTCCTGTTATGAAATAAGAGTGCCACCATCTTTTTTTCCCTTTCATTTGGAACGGTCAGGCTTCTGTGTCTCCTTTCCAAAACCCAATGTTAGTTCCTTATTCCCTGAATAACAAGATAAAATAGCAGATGATGGAGCTTCAGCCTTTCCTCTGTCCATTTGACCCCCTTGCCTCCCACTGCTGCTCTGCCAAGCCTTCTGTCCTTGTCAAACACAAGGGCTGACCATTGTCTGTACCAGGGTCTATGCAGTCAAAGGCTGCCGTGCTCCCTGATGGTCTCCATGAGCCTGAAATAGTTCCGTGTCCCTGCCCCTGCTCTGCTAGAAAATGCAGTCCAAGTCCCCTCCCCACTGCCACCCGCTCGAGGCCAGAGGAGCACAGCTCTCCCATCTAGGCCTAACAAGCCTGGGTTCTTTACCTCGTTATCTTTGCTCCCTCAGGAGCCTATCATGGCTATGGCATTCATGAATCTTTCAAACCTTTTAGGAAGCCTTTTATATCTCCTGGGACAGACAACTCCACGCATTTCTTTCCTAAATTTAGTTCATGTGAGTTTGCTCGATGGGTCGATTTCCTGTGCCTTTGGACAGGGCCTGGGTGGGCAGAGCCAACACCCGCCTCTGTGGTTCTCATTTCTGCCCTTGGTAGCCAAATCTCGAAGGACGTCTCCCCTCGTCCTAGCTTTGGTTTTGAGGCTTTGTTGAATAAACCTTCAAACTGCGTCCTTCATGAATCAGGGGCTCATATTTTGTCCCCTTGCAGCCTTGGTCTTTTCAGACTGAAGGATGCAGTTTTCATTTGTCTTCAAGTGGCTCCCTCCCCATCCCTTTCATCCCCCTAGAGCTTGCTGGTCTCTGCTGCTTCTCCATGTCCCCTGCCTGATCTTTTGTGGAACACGCTTGCTCAGGATATTTCAGGTTCTGGCACACAACATTTTATGTGACGGTGGAATGTGGATTCTCTTTTCTGTTTCTATCCCCTCCGGGCGACATACCTCTTCAGATACTTAGCAACGATCCGCAGCGCGTGGATTGCCCAAATGTCGCTGATTGGGTTGCTGCCCTGGTATGCGGGCCGTGTGATGGGGTTTGAAGGGCAGGGGCTCCTCATGTGGTAGGGAAGGGCAGTGTAGGACTCTAGGGCGTGGCTAACAAGAAATATTTAAAACACAGATTGAAAGCATTGTCCTCCTTCCTCCCTCCATTCAGATTATAAACCTCTGGGAAACGTTCGGTACTCAGTCCACTGTGGATGTGCTATGTAGCAGTGATAGTCACAACACACTCCACTAGTCAGCCTCGTGTCTACAAGAATCACTGCTTATTATCAAAATTAGCACAGTGAAGTTTACATTAACAGCACTACAGTGTTTTTTGACCAGTAAGTATAAGATTACATATGGCCCCTTTCTGGTACAAATAAATCTTTATGATGTTGAATTTTTAAACATTTGAGTCACGAAGAAAAGCACTGAATCTAAAAAATGATTTCCTTGTAAAATATATTACCATTTTTTACCTTGTATTCATCAAATACCATATTACCCAAGGAGGGTCATAGTTACACTAGCCTCCTGTTAAGTGTCTGGTGCAGTGCATGAGAACAGAAACCCTGGGGTCAGTCGCCCAGATGTAAATCCTGGCACCAGACCTTCCTGCTACAGGACTGGGGGGGAGTCACTTCCCTCCATGTGACTCTAAGACGGGGATAAATAATCGCACGTCTTCATGGAGCTGCTGTGAAAATTAAATGAGTTAATATATGTAAAGTACTTAAATAGTGCCCAGCACATTCTAAAACTTATAATTCACCAGTATTACTAATTCTTGGCCTGAAAAAAAATGCAATTTTTTTTATATGCCCTAAACTCAGGGTTGGCTATTCCAAGAACCAGGCTTCAGAGTTTCCTCCACCTACTGGCCTGCCATCAGTTCTAGCTAATCAACTGAAAAGATGAGACTAAACAGAACCATCTAGATCAATGATGCACTGGGAGAACAACATGACATGAAACATTTTTTCCATGAATTATAGTTTTCAATCTTAGAATGGAGAATTTATTCTCTTTATACATGTGAGAAACAGATAACATGTTTTGAACAAAGCCTTAGCACTTCTTTTTAAATTAGTTGGCAGATGGGTACTATGACGTTATGGTTCAAAACAGGGAGTCTGTGAGCAATGCAAGAATGAGGTGTCCACGTGGGGAGGACAGGGCAGCGATGAGTCCTCGGAGGCGCAGGGTCAGACCTCCGCCCTGCATGCATCTCGATTCTGAGCCCAAGAGCAGATCTGTCTCACAGGGGCAGACTCGCTGAGCTGAGCCCACAGAAACTATGTGTAAAATCTGGAAGTCTGATTGTTGATTTACAATGGGAAATGTAACTGCTGAGGGGGACAGATACCTGAGTCTTCCAGATGGCACCTTTTCTTGCTATCAGCAAGTCCTATGGATGCCAATTTATGATCAGAAGGCCCATGGAGTCCTAACAAGGGGCACTGCCTCTAAGCTTGAATACATGGGTATGTCCATCTTCAGAACAGACCACCGGGCCTCAGGCGCAGGTTCCTCAGGCCAGGTGTTCTCTCCCTCAGACAGTACTTGGAAGGGCAACTACCATCATCCTCCTTTCTTCTGAGCCCACTCCCCGCTTTGATCAAGAGTGAAGGCAGTGGGCCTGTAAGTCATTTACTTAAAAGTGACTGCTTTGGTCCATTATATATTTATTATGCATTTTCCAGTTAGGGAAATCTTATTTCCCTTATTTCCAAGTTTTTAGGGCACAACTCTTCCAAGTACTGACAACACTGACCAGGATGGAGTTGGACACAATTGTCTCCAGTTTCTTGGCAGGCAGCGTAACGTAGTGAGAGAAGCAGACCATGGTCTTGGGTAGACCTGGATATGAATGCTAACTCTGCTGCCTCCTGCTTGTGTGAACTTCATTCAACAGATACCAACTGAATACCTATGATGTGATGGCCACTGTGCCAAGGGGTGGGAATAGGGAGGTGAGTAAGATGGTTCTGTCCTTGCCAAGCTCACAGCGCAGTGAGGGAGATCGGCATGTGAAGAAATAGGTGTCTGAGAGCAAGGTATCGGCCACCCAATAGGAAAGAGAAAAAGGATGGAGGGATCAGTTGTACTTGAGGAGAGGGGAAGAGAGGTCAGCAAAGGCTCCATCGAGGAGAGAATGCTCCAGTGGAACTGAAAGAGAGTTCTCCAAGTATTCCAGGGCCAAAGGAATTTGGCTTGCAGACATTAGTTGTGGAAAGACACTGAAAGACTTGCAAGGTAGAGGTGTGTATATGTGCGTGTGCACACATGTGTATCTGTGTGACGGTCACATTGCATTCTGAAAGCTTGTTGAGGCCAGTATGGAGGACAGATGGAAGGACCATGGGATGGAGGCAGGGACACTGTCCAGGCAAGAGCTGGTGCAGGCCTGAACACGGTGGGAGCAATGAGGCTGGAGAGGAGGGAGCAGATATGAGAGACTCAAGCTGGACAACAGACAGGATCTGCTGGCTAGGTGTGGGCATGAGAGAAAGGCAAAGTTCATACTGAGTCCTGCTGCTCACTAAGTTAAGGGACTCAGGAGGAGAAGCTGTGAGGTGTGGGGGTGATTAAGAGAATGGTCAGATTTCATCAAATTTAAGACGCCATCCATCATAAGATGTACCATTTTTAAAAATGTACCAGAGGAAGAAAACGATACTGCCATGCCACAGATTTTAAGTTTTGTTCTGATTTCAGAGATGTTAGAATGTGAAAAAAAATGTGCATGTGCAAATGGATGAAATAAGGTAGTTTGGGTCAATGCCGAAGTGCCTGTGGGACCTCTGTCAGGCCGCTGGAACGAATGGCCTGGAGCTCACGAGCGAGGTCTGTGGTAGAAACGCTGAGTAAGGAGCCACCAGCACATGGCAGCTGAAGCCAAGGGAGGATGTGGTGTGACTCTGGGCAAGTTACTAAACATCTCAAAGCCAGGTTTCTTTTTCGTATGGCAGAGAGCTATGGTGAAGTGAGGAAGTGTGTGCAGTGCTGACACGGTGAGCACAGTCCAGCTCAGGAAACGTCAGCTCCCTTCCCTGCCCTCTTCCGTGCTGAGGCAGCCCTGGGCCATCGCTGGCTAGTGTAGCCATAGAGGTAGGTGTTGCGGGTCTGAGACACTGCATGCCAGTTCCAACTGCTCCTATTGCTGAGTTCCTGAGGCTGCAGCTGTGGCTGGGGTGGTCCATTCTGAACAGCAGATTTTTGGCTCACCCAAGACTCACCTAGTCACCAACCTTTACAGCTTCAATATTTTCACCCAGGAAAGGGGATAATGACAGTCAAGCTGGGGTTGTCGTGGAGCACTAATCAATGAAGGCTTAGCAAGTACTTATAATAAGAAACTACTGTGCATAGACCCAGGTACTGAAAAAGCCCCTCCCGGTGGCACTAGTACCTACCAAAGCACATCGAAGCCACTGTTGGCGACCACCCGGTCAGGCATGTGCAGGGTGTGCAGAGGATCAATCAGTCCCAGCGTGGGTTTGATGGCTCGGGAAGCAATGCCTAAGACAGAGATTTTCAGTAGAGGCTATCGGTATAGACACCACTTAAAAAAATTAAATAACTTTAGGATGACAAAGTATCCTAAAAAAATAAAAAATACAGGGCCAGCCTGGTGGCATAGTGGTTAAGTTCATGTCTTCTGCTTCAGGGCATGTTTGGATCCTGGGTGCAGACCTATATAATGCTTGTCAAGCCGTGCTGTGGCAGTGTCCCACATGAAAACAGAGGAAGGTTAGCACAGATGTTAGCTCAGGGCCAATCTTCCTCAGCAAAAAATCTAAAAATAAAATAAATAAATAAAAAATACGAGATACATTCATTCTCATGTAGAGAGGCCACAAGGAGGAGTGGAAAGAGATTTAGAGTCAGAAACCTGGGTTTTTCAGTGAAGCTGAAGCTCCTTCCACTTTGCAAGAGCCAAGGGTGTGCATCTGTTCCCAACTCCAGGCTGAGAGACGTCATTGGCTATGATGGGAGTGTTTACACCATAGAAATTGGCAAACACTGCAAATCAGGGCTTATTTACTTATTAAATTCCACAGAGCTGGTTTACCAGAACATCACTGGTTTGGCTGCCTGCTCTGTGACTTACTTACTGTGTGTCTTTGGGTAAGTCACTTAGCCTCTCTGAGTTCTCTATAAGATTAAACTCTTTTTTAAAAAATATCTATAGCCTAATTTTGTTTTTCCTGAGGAAGATTGGACCTAAGCTAACATCTGTTGCCAATCTTTCTCTCTCTTTTTTTTTTCTTCCCAAAGCCCCAGTACATAGTTGTATATCCTAGTTGTAAGTCATTCTAGTTCTTCTATGTGGGATGCTGCCACAGCATGGTTTGATGAGCAGTGTGTAGGTCTGGGACCAGGATCCAAACTGGTGAACCGTGGGCCGCCAAAGTGGAGCATGCAAACTTAACCACTCGGCCACAGGGCTGGCCCCTAAGATTAGACTCTAACAACACAGGGCCTCCATCTCTCACAGAGCTGTTGTAAGGATCATATTAGATAATATTAAATATCATGTAACAGCCTTTAAAAAACTGTAAGGGAGAATTCAAGTGTTGATTACTATTATTATTGTCTTTAACAATGGTGAAGGATAATGTAATTTAATTTTAAAAAGAGAAGTTACTATAAATGTGTGGTTGAATGTCAATTTATTCTGCTACAAAGGCCTGGAGGGAGAATATTAAGCCAGACTCGAGGAGAGGGAGATTTCCGCCACATTAGCTGAGAGTCAGAGAAGAAGGCAGGGTCAGAATGACAAAGAAGATGGAAAGCAGAGCAGTGGTTACTTGGGAATGGGGCTGAGGGGATGGACTGGGAGGGAGCATGAGGGAACTTTCTGGAGCAATGTGAATGTTCTGTATCTTGATGGGGGTGGTGGTTACTTGGGAGTATATATCTGTCTGAATTCACCAAAGCAGACTCTTAAAATGCATGCATTTTATTATATAAAAATTATATGTCAATGAAATTGATTTAAAATGTAAAAATATGTCTGAGAAAGGGAATAACCATTTATTATTGACATACAGTCATAACTCAGGTAGAAAAATGCCAATCAAGATTCATGGCATTTCAATATGCTTTTGTAGGTAATTCTCAAAAAGAAGTTTATTAGACTGTTTCATATTTTTATATGTACTTGGAAAAAGAGAGAAAACATGTATATGTACATACCCTTTCCTTAACTCCATAACTCCTTGATTTTTAAATACTAGGATTAAAGAAAAGAAGGTGGGATTGATAAGTAAGAGAAAGAATTAAAAAAAAAATTTATAGGCAAAGTTCTTACCAGTTTTTACTTTCAAGTGTTCATAGTCAAAAATGGCAACTCCAGTAGTTTCACTCCCAGTTCCTGAGGTAGTTGGGACTTGAACAAAATAATATTAATTTTAATAAAGCATCTAAATAAAGGCCAGTGGAGATACTTAATTCAGCCTTAGGAAATAAGGAGCAAAGTTAGAGAAGGAAGCTTTGCTGCCCCTGTTGCTCACCTGATGTCTGTATCTGTGTTAGCATGCATGTACGCCTCACATGTATGCCTGTGTCTGCATTAACATGTATGTGTAACAGTTTGAGGCCTGTGTTAGCATTAACATACATGTGTTATGGCAGTGTCTGTGTTAATACACATGTATCACGTTTAACATGGATGACGTCCACGTCTGCATCAACATGTATGCACACCTAACATGCATGTGTGCTTTGATGTGTGTGATACTTGTATCTGTGCTAACATGCATGTATGATGTCCACGTCTATGCTAACATGTATATATGCCTAATGCATGTATGATGCCCATGCCTGTATTAATGTGCATGTGTGTTTAACACGTACGTGTAATGTCTGTTTCTGCCTTAATAGTGAGCAGCTTTGGGAACCCAGGCTCCTCCAGTGCCAGAGCTTAAGCAGCTGCAGCTGGGTATGCAAACGGGGGCTGCTGGGCATCTCCAGTAAGAGAACTCGTATTTGCCATCTCTAAAAGACATCTTTATTCCCTCTTGGCAGCAAGCACAGTAATGCTCTGCCTTTGCTGGGCTCCGCGGTTTTGTAGTTGTGTCAAGTTTCTAAACTTTACTAATCACCCCTCTGTGTGATGCTGACACAGTTTCACCAGAGGGTTCCACTTGCCAGACGTCAATTACGCTGCTCCCTGCTGATTGCTCATTCACGTCAAAGGAGTTCATCTGCCATCAACTCACTCCTATGCCATCACAGGCCCACTCACAATGGGGGCAAAGGGGGGAGAAGAGAGAGGATAAAACTTTAAACTATTTTCCAGTTACCAGTTAGTGCATTTTAGCTATAAAACTTTAAACAGTAATACACTAATAGCCATAAATGAGTGGGAAGAAAAGACCGAAAGATCCGAAGGGCTGTGTGGAACAGACAACAAGCTATTCTGCTTTGGATTTGCGTGTCTTTGCCCCAGGCATCCACAAAGCAGATGTCTCCCAGAGTGAGGCAGCCAGGCCGGCCACATGTCCCAGGGCAGAGACAAAGCCCCAGGTCAGCTGAAGAGCCATTATGTGGAAGAAAGGGTTGAGTCAACACCAGAAAAATAATAGCGAATGTTCCCCTTAAACTCCATAGTGGCTGGCAAAATGGGACCAAACAAAGAGGGGTTTAGAAGACAAACCTGCCAATAGAGAGATCTAATAATATGTAAACAAGGTTCTTCCCGCCTCCACATAGTGACTTCATAGCTAAAACCTGCAAACTTTCCTACTACTGACTCAAACTGTCTCTATCTGAGCAATTATGAAGATCAGAATTTTAAACATGAATGAATTGCTGTTTTGACCTCAAAACAAGGTACTACACTGAAATGAAGAAATCAGAAAGCTTTGGAAACATACACCCTAAAATTACTGGCTTGCATCTTTCCTAAGGCCATTTGCCAATTGCAAAACAAAACAAACAAACAGTCTTTACCTGCAATCAGAGGCTTAAGAGGCACAGACACGGGCTTTCCCTTCCCAATGGGGGCATTGACATAATCCAGGAAATCAGAGTGAGGGCTGGACGCATACAGATTAGCAGCTTTACAGGTGTCCATGGTGGAGCCGCCACCCACAGCAACGTAGGCATCAAAAGCCCCCTTTTTGGCAAACTCAATAGCTTCCATGAAGCTTGGAGAAGGAAAAACAAAAGCCATTATGCCATATTTTTCAGAAATAAATAGTCATGCCATTAAACAAGACCTGGTGCAAGTTTTAAGCAACAGGGATATGTGTTGGCTTCCACTTAAAGTAAATAACAACAACAACAAAATACCTTCTATCCGTTGGTTCCACCCTCACATTATCATAAACCTTAAAGTTGATGCCATTCTTCACTAGGGAATCCATAACCACTTGTACAGGAGGGAGTTGGGAGAGATTCTTGTCTGTCATCAAACAAACATTTTTAGCACCCATGTTTTGCAGGTCCTACAATAACAAAAACAATGTATAAGTTAGGTTTGATCGAACTAGAACTGTAATAGAGTCCTCTGGCAAACTTAACATTGTCCATTTTTAAAAACAGAGGACTCAGCTGTTGTCCATATGCACTTGTTTTAAAAGACATATAATATTCGTAGTAGAAGACTGTAGAAATCATAAATACTTGCCATGCCTACTTCCTTTGTAACTCCTGCTCCATATCTAATATTTGAAACAGCCATCTAAAAAAAAAAAGATTCAGGTGTAGGGTATATTAGAGAGTTGGCCACTGCACTTCTAAAATCCTGAAATGGTTCCTCATTATTTAGAGAATAAAGTATATATTCCTCAGCATGGCCTTCCAGGTCACCCCCCAGCTGGCCTCAGGCTCATTACATTTCCTTAAGCAAACTTTGGTTTTAGTCACATTGGAATTACTTCTCTTTTCCCAAACACATCATAAACCCTCAATTGTTCCCTCAGCTTGAAATGCCTGCCTTCCCTTGCCTCCACACTTAAATTAACTCTCAAATTTCTTATTTTCCAATTTAAATGTTATTATCTCTGTGTATTTTTCACTCCTTCATTCACTCATCCACCCATTCATCTATCCAACCATGCTTGCATGCATGTATCCATCCATCCATCCTCCCATCCAACCAATACTACTGCTTGCTCTGTTCCAGGCACTGCGCTAGGCTCTGGTAATACAGCTATGAACAAGAGAAACATGGCCTCACAAAGTTTACAGCTGAGAGAAGAGCTTTAACACTGATGCATGATGGGTCCCTTTTGGCCCAGACATGTTTTGTTTGATCCACACTATGTTTAAATTTCTTTCTTTTTTTTGAGGAAGATTAGCCCTGAGCTAACATCCGCTGCCAATCCTCCTCTTTTTGCTGAGGAAGACTGGCCCTGAGCTAACATCCGTGCCCATCTTTCTCTACTTTATATGTGGGATGCCTACCACAGCATGGTGTGCCAAGTGGTGCCATGTCCGCACCCGGGATCCAAACTGGTGAACCCCGGGCAGCGGAAGTGTAATGTGCGAACTTAACCACTGCGCCACGGGGCCGGCCCCAAATTTCTTTTTTTTGAGTTGGATAATTACTTTAAAAATCAAGATTAAAAAAAAATCCAGCGTGACTTTCCAGATTTCTATCTCTCCTGAATAATCGGGCAACAGCAGGCTGGATTCTGGTGTGGTAGCACTCACGTGGGGCTGAGCGTGGGCCGCACCCTTCCGATGGGCCAGTTCTCTCAGAGAACTAAGCACCGTCCTCACCCAGCCTGCTCATGGCCCGTTAACTGTCAGGCCCCTGGCAATATTTTAATTTCTGACTCCTGAATCAGCAGGAGACAGGGATTTAAATAAATAGTTATGTAATTACAGTGTGATAAAAATTCATCGGAATTAATTGTTCCTTTAGTCTTGCTTCAGAAGATTACTAGGACCTCTTTTGGGATTGTTATAATTACAAAACTAAAGACAATTTAGCATGCAACCTATATAAGTTGGAGAGTTTGTAGAACTGGGAATTTGTCCTATTTTATTGGCTGTACACAAGACAGTATTCTAGCCATTACTCACGCTATCAGAAGACTTGTATTCCATTATCCTAACAAAGTACTTTGCTAAATAGAGCCTGACCAAATAATAAGATGAGGGAACATCAATCAATAACAGAGTTCAATGAGATAATAATGCATTAGCAAAAGACTGTAGCTGTAGTTTTTCAGGTCATTCATAAAAGGATGGATGGATTAAATCTACCTCAAAGGCATAATCTGTTGTTTTTCCAGAAGCTGGAAGTCCAGGAGCTAGAAACGTAAAAATTAGCATCAGAGTAGGCCTCAAACACAAAGCAAAAATATTGTTGTTTGATAGTAAATTGGTATTCCAGCAGTGAACATAAGCATACCCTTGAAGCCGCAAACATATTTTGCAGGTTCCACTGTTGCATATCCAATCAAAATTAAAACCTGCATTTTAAGAGAATGTAATGCTAACTTGATGCTGATTGTGTGAAAATAGTTATTTTAAAATATTTTCTCCACTGAAATTTTAATACTTTTTAAAACTTTTGAAAACATAATCTGTAAAAATCTTCTAGAAAAAAAATCCTCTAGACTCTAGAGTTAGGTTATTGGTAGAGAACAACTAAATCAGCAAATTCATTAATCAGAGTCCTGTTTATACTTCTTATAGCAACTGTAACCATTTGTTTTAGGATTTTTTTCATGGAGGTTACTTATCACAGTAAGATATTTATATTTTTCAAGCTTATGCACATGACAAATTTAGTTTTCTTTGTGAAACAAAAATTTTTAAACTGATATTTCTTTGCAAAGCATCTTGTTTTATTATGGCAAAAATGATTTTCTGTCATATTGCGATAACAATATGAATGAATTTTATCCTTGTTTTTATCTACTTATTTGTATTAGTCCTGTCAGTGGTAATGTTGGAAAAAAGTCTACAGAACAATTTGCAATTCCATTTTTTTTTTGAGAAAAAGAGACTACAGCTAGACAATAATTTACCTTCACCTTCGGTTCCCTGGGGGCAAAGATATCCTTAATCAAAATTCAAATTTCTTTGATCCCTATAGGCTTTAAAGAAAAAATCTATTACTCCTGTTACTAAAGTTTAGGAAAAGACATAATTGGGTCTTACAAAACAGTGAGAGTATCTTTTTCTAAATTACTAATTTTATTCCCTCAAATAGGAAATTACTGATTCTTTGTTGACACCAACTAAGAATTGGAGAAAACCAGCTAAAGGCAAAATCCTGCTTATATCCATGAGGGCCCAAAAGTCTGGGCTTCTGCCTGGTGGATGGCCGTTAACGACCAGGAGGTCCCTTGGTTTGTCCTGAAGGGTGAGCCACACCCTTCTACAGGCTGGGAAAAAGCCCTCAGTTAGTCAGTCTATCTGTTCTGAGCCCCAACAGGCTTCTCTGTGCTCTGGGGCCTGTAGGGGTAGGCCCTACCTTTCCATCCCTTGCCTCACAGCTTAGATTTGACCTCTTCTTCTAAGAGGTGAAATCAGTTTTTGTGTCAGTAATTCATGTGACATTCTGAGGACACGCTGAAGCCACAATGAGCTTCCTGCTGCTCTGTGGACAATGGAGTTGGTAAAGATTAAGATGTTTGTGGGAAGTGAAAACTTTTGTCATTATTTTTAATTATTTAGAAATAGAATGTTAATTTAAAAAATTGATACAAACGAGTTTTTTCCTTCAAGGAAACACCTTGTTCTTTAGCCTCTTTCTTTTTTGAGATGTTAGAACCTTCCAAAGATTTCATTTTGATTAATTCTATTTGATGAACTCAGACAGTCTTAACATTGGTGCCACCATTTTTAGCTTTGGCAAATAATTCTATTTAAAATAGAAAAACATTATAAATAGCATTAAGCTTATGTTTGAGCCAAACACATCATCAGTAGCCTACATTTAGCTAACATCATATAATTAGAACTACATATCAATTTCAAGTGAAAAGCCAACCATTTTCATCAACCTTCCTCTCACGTCTTGATTTTCTTGCTTTACACTTTGCCCAAATGTACTGTAAGTGCCAACCGTGGAAACCGAAATTGTGGCTAGTTTAAAAATACAAAATGTATTATTACCTTGGGAGTAAGTATGAGAATGAGTTGGGCACTGGCATCTAGAGAAAAGAAAAAAAGAAAAAGAAAAAAAAAAGAAAGTGAAACTAGAAAACCAAAACACAAGAAGCCTTAAAATAACTCACGTTGCATTCTCCTCTTAAGATGCTATCAGAGTAGTAGCTATTGGCAAACAGTGGACAATGGAAAAAAAACCCAGAAATCACCATGGACGAAAAGTTGATTCAATCTTTCCAGGGTTGTAGGATCATTCTTTCAGGAATTATTCAAGCGGCCCTTAGTAAGTGCCTGTCTTCGGGGAGCAGAGATGAGCACTCTGGGGATACGACTAAGTTTAAGATGGGCTCCCTGGTCTCTGTGAGGTCTCAGCTCTCACGAGGTTAGGAGCTTCGACCAAACTGACCCAAGATTAACTACTCTCGCCTCATCTCCCATCCCCCACGTTCTTTCCTTGTATTTCCCCATTGTCTTCAAGTGGTTTAATTTTTCTTCAAGCAGGCGCTGGGCCCGTTCCTCCAGGAAGCCCTCACTGGGCCTGAAGGCCTCCCTGGTCACCACCTCGCGCCTCCGTCCTTACTCTGCCAAGCTGCAGCGACCAGCGGCCACGGCTCAGGCTCCGCGTGCTGGTCCCCTCCCCGGGAGACCAGGGACCACCATCGTCTCTGCCGCCTAAATTGCTCTCACATCTGTCACCTTCTCACCGAATCCTTCACCTCTCAGTTCTCAGTCCGCTTCTCTACAGACTTTCCATGTCTTCCTTTTTTGAAACTTTCCCTCCCTTGGCTTCCGTACCCCTTCCCTGGCCCTGTCGCCTCCTCTTGCTTGGGCATTCCCTTCTTGGGCTCGCTATCCGATGGGGACCGTGTCATAGAGGGGTCTGGTAGATACATGAGTGCATAACCCGCCCCCCAGCCCCCAGCCCCCAGCCCCCTTCAAATTTGGAATGAAAACATCTGAGGGGGAGGATGGGGAAGGGAGGAAAAGGGTTGAACTCAACGGTGGTCAAGATCTCAAAAACTGAGAATTGCGAAGCCAGCCGTGGGCAGCGGTGCTAGCGCTCCCATGAGTCACGGCTGCCATCTGGTGGGCACCGCTGGGAACGCCAAGCGCTGGGAGTTTCCCAGGGCACCCGCTGCCTACCCACTGCGCCGGCTCCGCGGGGACAGGACAGGCGGCGGGGCCAACGTGCTATCCCTCACAGGGGGGCTTCACTTTCCAGGGCTTTCCCTGCCTCATGTCCTCCAAGGACAAGAAAAGAGAGGCAAGGGGAAGAAGAAAACTGAAAGCTTTCCCACGCGCAGGACCATGGAGCACAGGCTTCTTTTCACCCTTCTCCCCTTCTCTATATTTTTTAAGCTTTGAGGCTACCTCAATTCATTTCTTCTCCTTCTTATTTGTGGCTTGAATCTCATCCCCTCTTGCCTTCTCGGGACCTCCATCTGTTCTGTATTCCTAGTCTTCCCCCTCACTGGATCCTTGTCATCATAGTTATGAGTTTCATGCTTAAAACTCTCAACCTCTTGTCCCCTCCAGCTTGTCTCCCCCTGGGGTGCCCCCTCCGGCTTGCCCACCCTCTGGTTAACACTCCCAGCCTACACTGGCTGGCTCCATTTCCTTGCCTCCCTCACATTTCTCGGTCCCCTGAAATCTGGCTGCTGTATCCTCACTTCTCAGACCTCCTAGGCCCTTGCTCTCACAGCACTGAACACTGAGCCACCCTTCCTTGCACCGGGGAGCCGCTCTTCTTGGCTTCCACGACTCCCTACTCACCTGGGTTTCCTCTAATTATTCTTTCTCTGGCTCCTTTTCCAATCTGCCCCTTCCTTAAATGTTGGGTTCTTTCTATCTTGGGCTCACCCCTCACCCTTTATAGCCATGCATCAAGGCCCCAGATATTTCTCTACCCAAATCTACCCTCTTCTCTGGGGCCCTCTGCCAGTCTCTAGTTCCTGTGTCGTCTCTCACCTGGATTACTCTGGAGCTCCTAACAGGCTTCTCTTGGCTCCACCTTTGCCACACTGTGGTCAGGGGCATATTTCCAATGATGTCACTCCCTTGTTTAAAAGTACTTGGAGGGCTCCTCATGGATTTTAGGATAAAGTTCAGACCTGGCCCTGCTTCACTGGCCCTGCTGCCCTCTCCAGCCTGGCCCTCCATCTCCCGGGTTGAGCTCTTGAAAAATTAACTCTGTTCTTTTCCTTGACCGGGCCACACTCACTCTCTTCCCCAGAACTTTGTCCTTGTTATTTCCTCTGCCTGGAACACACTCGCCCCCACCTCCCCCCGCCCCCTTTTTCTGAATAACTAGGGTTCTTTTGCATGTCAGTTCAGATGTCACTTCCCCTGTGCCGTCTTCCCTTAGGCCCGAGAGCCTGGTAGACACCCTTTCTCTGTGGTCCATAGTACCCACGCCTCCCTCCCCATTAAAATTGTTACCACACTGTATTGTTGGTGCTGTTTTCCTGTTTCCACCTGCCACTGGATTGTAAATTTTGTGATGGCAAGAGCTGTCGTTTCTCACAACCACATTTGCAGTAGCAGGCACAGTGCCAGGCAGAAAGTAAGCCCTTAATATGGACTGAATGAATGAGTAAATAAGTAAGTGTAGACATGTAAAATCCCCTGACCTTCTCTCTTTTCGTGGTGTGCCAAGACACAGAGCCTGGCCCGGGGAAGGAAGACTAGGCTGTGGGCTCCCCCACCTTCTTAGGATGGCCTGAAACCACTGGCAGGCTTCTTTGCACTCCTCCTGGGAAGCAGAGGAAACCCCGGGTAGAGCAAGCCCCTCATCCAACCACCTTCTGGCTCTTGCCCAGTCATTTTGGCTTTCCTCCTCGTATTAGGACCCCCCACCCCAGTGCACTAAACCTGAGCCCCGCTCATCTACTCAAGGACATCACTACCAGCAGTTCTGCTTTCCTTCTCCTGCATCATCAAAATTTCCCTCCCTACTAGATCTTATCCATCGGCATGAAAATGCTATATTTCCTATATTATATTAAAAACAAACCACCACCTCCTCTTGTCCCTCTTCCCTCTCCTGCTGCTGCCCCCACCTCTGTCCTTCCCTTCAGCTGACTATACCTGCTCTCTCTAATCTGTCTTCTCCCATTCTCGCTGGAACCTCCTCCAGTCGGCCTTTGCCCCACTGCTCCACTGACAAGCTTCCCAGGTCACTAATGCCCTCCACCTCACTAATACACCGCTCAGTTCTTGGTTCAGTCCTCGTGTCATCCGACCTGCAGTAGCATCCTCCTGTTCACTCCCTCCTCCCTGGGAACACTGTCTTCCTTTGGCTTCCAGGACACCACTCTCTGGTTTTCTTCCTACTGCACCAGCTGCTCCTGGCCTCATTTCTTTTAATGCTTTTGACTCTGAACGCTGGAGGGTCCCAGGGTTCAGCCTGTGGACCCTTTTCTTTTCTTTCCACACTCACTCCCTGAGGGACCTCACCTGGCTCATGGCCTTGAATACTTTCTATGTTGATGACTTCCACATTTAGGCCTCTCTCCTGAACTCCAGATTCAACTCAGCAACTCCGCTTGTATGTCTGTTAGGCATCTCACATTTTCCCTGCCTAAGACTGAGCTTCTGTTCTTCTCTCAAAGCCTCCTCTCTCCCAGTTTAACGGCAACTTTGTCCTTCCAGTTGTTCAGGCCAAAAAAGCTTGGCATCATCACTGACCACCACCACCGGGCCCCCAATGTCTCTGACCTCATATCCCCCTTGCTCCCTCTGCTCCAGTCCCCTTCTTCTGAAACAATGCCAAGTATACTGCACCTCCAGATACCTTCCCAGAGAACCACATGGCTTGCTGCCTCCCTCCACTGGTCTTTCCAAAAGTTACCTTCTCGGTGAGTGTGGTCAGCTGAGCCCCTGAAGATATTCGGGTCCTAATTCCTGGAACCTGTGAATGTTACTTTATATGGCAAGTGGGACTCTGCAGATGTGATTAAGTTTAGGATCTTGAGATGGAGAGATTGTCTTGGATTATCTGAGTGGGGCCTATATGTAATCACAAGCACCCTTATAACAGGTGTGGGGGGGGTGGAGGGATTTGACACAGAAGAAGGTAATGTGACCACTGAAACAGCTACATTGCTGGCTGTGAAGACGGAAGAAGGGGCCACAAGCCAAGAAATGCAAGGCATGCAGCTCTAGAAGCTGGAAAAAACAAGATAATGGATTCTCCCCATGGCCTCTGAAGAGTGTGGCCCTGTTGACACCTTGATTTGGGCCCAGTAAAACTGATTTTGGACTTCTGTACTCCAGAACTGTGAGAGAATAAATGTGTGTTGTTTTAAGCCACCACGTTCGTGGTAATTTGTTTCAGCAGCAACAGGGGACTAATACAGTGAGGTCTTCTCTGGCAATCTTCTCTAAAATTGCATCCCCTCCTCTAACACCCTTTTACTTTCTCTTTAATACCTACCCACTTCTAATATACTCTGAGTTTTACTCACTAGTTTATTGTCCATCCCATCCACCCTAGGCGCACACCTAAGTGCCGGGGATGTGAGGCTGTTTTGCTCCCTGCCCTACCCCAGGGACCAGAATGCTGCAGACCTGCAGGGGCTGTGATGTCCTTCCCCGCTGGACTTTCTCCCACCTCTCTGGCCTCCTACCCTTTAATGCTGATTCCTTTTCCTCCATTCAAGGTGCAAATTATTTGCAAATCTAAATGCCTGAGGGGGCTGACAAGTAACCTAACTGAGAGGCCGGAGCAGCTTGCTGTCACATGGCTGCTGTGTCGAGTAAACGGTGGGCTGGCGTGCTTGCCCTGTCCAAAGGAGGTGGCCTCCACTCCCCCTCAGCCCGGGCAGACCTTCCCCAAATGAAAGTGGGCCCAATGATGACATTTCCCAATTTTCTAAGATTTTTATCTGAGATCTCCCACTTTTTATTTATTTATTTATTTTGAGGAAGATCAGCCCTGAGCTAACATCTGCTGCCAATCCTCCTCGTTTTGCTGAGGAAGACTGGCCCTGAGCTAACATCCGTGCCCATCTTCCGTTACTTTATATGTGGGACTCCTGCCACAGCATGGCTTGATGAGCGGTGCCATGTCTGCACCCAGGATGCGAACTGGTGGACCCCAGGCCACCGAAGGAGAACGTGCAAACTTAACCGCTGCGCCACCGGGCTGGCCCCTAGATCTCCCACTTTTTAAATGCTTACCCTATTGAAAAAAGAAACACGTGCAGAACAAACAAAGCACCATTTTGCTACTCCTGCTCTAACAGTGCTGCTCCCCAGGACTTCATCCTCAGCCCTTTCTTCAGGGTTACAGTTTGCCAAGGTCTTTGCTTCCACATCCACAGTTTCAACTGTCCTCTATACACAGGATGACTTCCCAACTCGCTCCTGAACTCTAGAACAATATATTCAATTATCTGCTAGGAGTCTTCATCTGTCTGTATCTAAGGCGTCTCCAACTCAAAATGCCCAAGACTAAAGTTATCATCTTCTTCCTGAAGCTCACGCTCATACAGGCCCTATTTGAGTAAATGACCCTACTGTTCACCCGAGGCCCCAGCCAGAAACCTCAACTTCTCCCTCTGTCTCACTAATCAGATACAAAATCCTGCTGATTCTAACCAACTCCTCAATACTTGTCATATCTACCCGCTTGTACCGGCTGCCTCTCCTTAGTGCATGAAGCCAGGACTTTTTAGCTGGAGCACTACAATTTCCTCTAGTCTTTCCTCTCCACTCTTCACTAACCCTAGAAAGCTCTAACATAATTCTAATCACGCCACACTCCTTTGTCATGCAACCCTTCCAAAAACACGTGTGACATGACATTGGTTCCAAGGGATATGAATGGTGTTGCTTGATAAAGAGTTCTACGGTGACACAGGTTTAGGACAAAGAGTAAATACAGCTAAACTCTTTGTTAGCACTTCTCAGAGCCCTTCGTGACCATCAGCACACGTGTATATCCTGACTCTCCACAGGGTGATGCAGCAGTGTTTAGTTTCCCAAACTTATTCGGCCATGGGATTCTTTTTTCATGGGGGCATCTCAAGGTATTAGTGTTTCACAGTGGGAATTATTGCTTCAATAGCTTTCCATTATCTACAGGACACAATGAAAATTTCTTGGCAGAGGACTGAGAACAAGGACCGTGAAGCCAGAATAACTGGGTTCAACCTATGGCTGTGCCATTTGCTTAGTATGTGACACTGGACAAATGATTTTTCTCCATGCCTTTATCTCTAACATGAAGATAATAATACAGGGTGGCATAGGGTTGTTGGAAGGACTAGAGTGACTATTAACTGTACATGCATAGTGTGTAGGATGGTGCCTGGCACATGGTAGGTGCCCAGTGTTAGCTATTTTCTTACTCATTGTCTTTCACCATCAGTCTTCTGCATCCTCACCTCCTCCTAGGAGGGTAGGTCCAGACTTTAATTACTTTTAGATCCTGGAACCACATCGCTTGCCTCTGGTGCTGCTCTTCCCTTTGTCTGAAATTCCTCTCTAGTCTCCCTCCTTTCCCCTTATTTATCTCCACCAGGCCGCTCAAGATTTTCCATGTTTTCCTAGGTCAACTTGGACACTTGGACATTCAGCATGCCTTTATCAGGCGGCTACTATGTACCTGGCATTGCCAGAGAGGGAGTCAGACATGCCCTAACATTTAATACCCTGCCTCCCTGAACATGCCCGGGAGGGAAGCTCCCTCTCACATCCCTCTGTCTCTTCTACACCCTCTGTCCGCGGTGCTCCGCACAGGCCCGATTTACCCCCGTCCGGCGACGAGATCCCCCGCTAGACTTTACACCGCTCCAGTCTTTCATCTTTGTATTCCCAGCACCTAGAATAGTTCTTGGCACATGACATACAACCAATACACGTCTTGGTCGGGGCATGAATTTGTCTTGGTCACTGAGCCAAGTTCTCCACTGGCTACCGCAACGTGGGACCAGGCACTGTCCTCTCTGGGCCTTAAGTTTCCTTAAGGGCAGGACAAGTAAAACCTGCCTCGGCGTGCCGTGCGTGGCTGCAAGACACACTCTGCGACAACGCCGTCCCGCCCGGGGCACGGCGCCGGCGCGCAGCGGCACCCCTTCCCCAATTTCTGGAAAGGAACCCGAGGAAGAATGCAATGCTCGGGGCCCGGGCGGGTCACGCCCAGGAGGGCTGCGTGGGCACCGAGGCTCCCCGCCGTACCCCTCCCGCCCGCCGGGCCCCGCACTCACGCTGCGCGCTGCAGTTGCCTCAGCAAGTGCGCGACCCGGGCGCGCGCGGCGGCGGCCATGGCGGCGCGTCTCCCTCCCCGCGGCCCCGCCCCCCGCGCCGGCCAATCCCGGCCGCCGCCTCCTGCTCCCGCCCCCGCGGCCCCACCCGCCCCGCCAGGACCCCGGTGGCTCAGGACCATTTTCCCACGGGTCAAAATCTCAAGTGCTCGGCTACAAGTCTCCACATCCACCTTTGAAATTGTCGTAAAGGTAACTCCGTAGGCTCTTGGGTACTTCCTTACGTCTCTCTACGTAAAACTCTCTATTTCACATGATGGGGACGTGGGGAAAGGGAGAGAACCGAGGACATTCTTTTTCCGCTGATTCCTTTAAAATGTTATTTTTCTTTCTTAAAGTATTTCAGAATAAATTATTAAGACATTGCATTCAAACTGTTTTAACAGTAAACAAGAACCTTGCAAAGAGCCCGAGGCCCTTTTTTACAGGGCCACTGTTGTGTCCAACTACTAAATGAAGCAAATCTAAACACAAAAAACAGAAAAATCCCGAGACAAAAAGAGTAACAACAAAAAACCCGGACACTCGAGAAGAATTTAAAAGGCGTTAAGTGCTCTATGAATGGCTTGGCTTTTGATGAAGTTGTTCAGGATATCATTAGATAGCTTCATCAGTAGTTAAAAGCTTTCCATGGTTACACTATACCCTGGGAGGGCTTGGGAGCGCCAGGTGCACCGTGTCCCAGTGGAAAAGTTGATCAGTGATTGCCAAGTTCCACTTTAACTTAATCAGAAAGTATCCTAAGACAGTAACAATTGAACACCTGTGTTTTCAGTACCCTATCATGAAATCCGAATTAATCTTTTCTTTCATAGCAATTTCTAAAATTAACTTATAAAAGTGAGACAACACTGAAAAAATGAAAGACTCCCAATTTTAATTTTCTGACACTTGTCAGACTAATAGTGGTTCTCAGCGGTATAACAGTTGCAAAAAAGTCTCCCTGGATTGTCGAATCTACTATAAATCCTTTTCAGGAGGTATTTTTACAAAGATGAATTACTGAGATCAATTAGGGAGAGACCCAGGATAGCTATAAACATTTCACCTCCTACAAACTAGCTAAGGTCAATTCGAAAAATGAATCTAAAGATAATAATGTTCCAATTAAGGATTTTGTTGGTTTCTTTCTCTCTTCCCCAGACTCTACTTGGAGCTTTAAAGAAAATTAGAGATGTAAATGTTGAGAAAGAATTAAGTACTTTTTGGATTAATGAGGATTACCACCATTATTTACTGAAGCCCAAATTTATCATCTACAGCAAATCAGTGTTTTCAGTGTTGAAAAGCATGATCTTTTTTTGAAGAGACACCAGTTGTACTACACTTTCAATATTATGATACCAAAAAAAGTATGACCTTTTCTAAAAAAGTGAATTTAGCTGCTTTATGTGTTTTGGAAAGTAAGTGAAAATAATCTGTACCAGGTATCTTAGCCACTGGCTTTACTTAAGATTTCTACCAATAGCCAAAAAGTTAAAAGCAACATTAGATACAGATATACTTTTATTACATAACCTTTACAACAGTGACTTGTAACTCCAGTTCTGAAAATGTAATCTTCCTGTTTCCCCCTGACTTTGATAAATACACAGGTTTGTTACAAAAATAATGAATAAAAGAAATCAATCTAAGGCTCAAAACATGACTAACTGTTCCTCACACCATATCCAAAAGTTAAAAAGGAAAAAGATGTCTGTCTGAAAACAGAACTCATTCTCAGTTTCGACCAACTTCTTTCCCTAATTCTTAAGTCCTCAAATACATCCTTTAATCTCCAAAGTCTTGGTTGTGGGAAAAACATTAATTTGGAGAGTCCAACACTTACACAATATCTTGAGGGAAGGGCAGTTCTATCCCTTCAACCTCAAGCTCAGTGAAGGTATCGGTCACCTTCTTCTGCATCTCCCCCTACAGTACAGTACGCAGAACTTAAAATTTAGTATAGTTCTTGGTTTACACGGGTTCGCGGGTGCAATTTACTTCCTCCTCTTTCCTCCTTGATGTTGCCTTCCTTTTCTCTTGCCACCCAAGCCAGGCGGCCCGGAATTCATCTTGCCTCCCAAGCCCCCCTTCCTCTTTCCTCCCTGGCTAGGCGGGCCCCCTTTCCTCTTGCCCCCTGGACCCTGCCGGCCCCCCTTTCTCTTGCCCTTCTGGCTCATTTTTCTCCTCTTGGCCGCCTCCTCCTGGTCCTCCTCCCTCATCTGCTTATTGGTGGCCCTCGTCACGTCCAGCTGAGGCTTTTTGCTGTTCATGACTCGCAGCAGCTCCAACTGGCTCTTTTTCTCAGCTGCAAAATCCCCGAAAAGGGGCTGAAACTTCCTTTTCTTGCCAGAGCCCCGGGGCGCCTTCTCCTTGGGCAGGCGCTCTTGGAAGCGCCCCACAGAGGCGGTGGAGACCTTGGCCACCTGCATGGCACGGCCCAGCTCCTCCTTACTTTGGTGCCCGGTAGGGTGCATGCCGGCCGCGCTGGGCAGCTGCGTCTTGTGCGCGCGGGCCAGGTTACGCAGCCGGTTCAGCTCGTTCTTGGCCACCCGTTCCTTCTTAGCCTGAATCCGCTTGGCGAACTGGTCCTCCATGGGGTCGGCACCGCCGGGCACCTCGATCAACCATTCCTTGGTGTCGTCGCGGGCGCGCTGGTAGCCCCAGCGGCGCCGCCACTGGCCGCTCACCTCGTCCCACACCAGATTGGTCTTCTTCTTGGGACGGATGCCCTTGAGGCGCGCGAACTGCTGCCAGCGTGTAAGCGGCCGCGGCCGGGGCACCGGCTTCTCGCGCGGCAGGCGAGTGGTGGGCTCCGGCAGCCGCGCCACCAGCGCCTCTTCCACGCGCTCGGTGGGCAGCTGCCACAGCTGGTTGATGAGTAGCTGCGTGTTGTCCCGCGCCAGGGCCCGCAGATCGGCCTCCGGCGTGGGTCCCGCGCTCCGCACCGCCGTTGGGGGGTTCCGGTCCGTGGCCAGCAGGTTACCCAGGTCGAACTCCAGCTCCAGCTCCTTGTGCACCGTGATGCGCTGCAGCTTCTCCGCCTCGTCCCGCTCCGCCTTTGCCAGCAGCTCCTCCACGCTATGGCCCTCCATGGCTCGGCTCACTCGCTCCGGGAGGACAGTTCAATCACTTCTCCGCCAGTGCCGGCTCGAGCAGGGCAACACAACCACGTGCGGGCGCCCAGACGCTCGTTCCGGAAGAGAAAGCTTCGCTTCCGGAGCGCCCGGAACTGGCTCACAATCCGGGCGGCCCGAGAAGAGGCCGGCAGAGGGCGGTGTTGGAGAGCAGATGGGATTAGAGGCGGCCCTTGCGAACGCGCCCGGAGGTAGGCGGAGCCGGCGCGAGGAGCCCAGGCGACAAATTCCAGGGCCTGATCGGGACCGCGCCTCCCAGGCGGCGGCGGCGGCGCAGGGCGTTGGGGGCGGTGGGGGTGCTAATCTGGGGCCACTGGTTAAGGGGTCTGGAGCGACTGTCTTACAATTTCAGTGTAAATACGTTATCAGGATGTTTAGCTAATCAGCCCTTCTTGGGACTAGACAAATTATGTTTCGCCAGAGACTCTACCCGCTCATGGGGCGTGTGGGTCGAGAAGGACTCTTGTCACAGATATGCAGGAAGCCGAGTGTAGAAGAAGACTGGTTTGCGTTGGGAGCGAGCGGGGCTGGCAGTTAGACCGCCCTGAGTGGGCGCGGGTGTGCGCCCACCCCAGCTTGCTGATCGCTGGTAACCCAGAGTCCCGGGCCGCATCCTCTGCTGGCTTGTGGCAAAAGAGCACCCGCTGTGCAGTTCCACTGCCTGGGTTCCAGTCCCGACTGTGCCACTGTTTGACCTTCGGCTGTTTGACTCGTTTGGGCCTGTTTTAAAACCTGTACCCTCCTAGGGCTGGTATAAAGATAAGTGAGTTAATATGCCCCCAAGGGAGCTTAGACTAGGGCCTGGAACGTATGAGTGCTCAATATATGTTAGCTAAATACCAATTATTATTTAATCTTCATAATGGCTCTGGGAACTAAGCTGAAGAGGCAGTCCTGTACAGTGATTAACACCAGGTTCTTAAGTCAGACTACCTAGAATAAGATCGAGGTTTACTGAACCTACCTGGGGACAGGTTGATTAACCTAAGTCCTACTGGTAAGCTGATAAATATGAAACGTTAGTTCTTGGTACATGGTAAGCACTCAATAAGTGTTAGCTATTATTAGTCACCATATTCCACTGGTGACAGCTGAGAGAGGTAAAATGACTTGCCTAAAGTCATGCAGCTGGAAATGGGGGAGCAGAGGAATCTCAACTCACATCATTAAGACTACATACATATTCCTATACTCTCTGCAACGTCTTCCAGGCTCTTGATATTTCACCAGTGTGGTCTCTTGACCAGCATCATAGCGTCACCTGGGAGTCTGTTAGAAATGCAGACTCTCTGGCCTCACCCCAGATGTCATGATTCAAAATCTTCCTTTTTACAAGATCTCTAGGTGATGAGCATGTACAGTCAAGTTTGGGAGGCACCACTGACTGTGTGGGTTACAGGTTTTGTTTTCCTTTAACAGGAGGTTGGGAGTAGTGAAGAGGGGGTAATGCTGGAGAATTAACCCATAGCAGTGGACATAGTAGCTGTTAGGAAATAGATTCAATTGAGTTTCTGCTCGAGAGGGCTTTAGATACAGCCCCCTCTGCCACACCTGCCCCCAGAGTTTGGTCTCAGCTTAAGCTCACTATCTTTCCTCAACTCTCCTTTTTTCATTCACTCATCAGACGTGTAATGAGCACATTTTGTGCTTTTGGCATTGTGCTAGAACCTTCTCTCTTCCTTTTTTCTAAAGCATTTTAGGATTTGCTGGGGATTTTCTGAGCCTTTGCCTTAACACTCAGCACCAAGTCTTTAAACCAATCATCCTGTGGGGCCAAGACTAGGTCAAAGGCCATAATAGGTGACTGCCTTGAACCCTAAAGCTTTCAGGATTTGCCGGAGGAGAGAGTTAAGGACATTGACAGCTACTCTGGGCTTGGCTTAGCTTCTGATTTATTCATTCATTTAACAAGCATTTGAATGACTACAGTGTTCCAGACACTAGATACAAAGATTATTGAGACCTTATGAAACAGCAGGAAAGAAAGAGAAGTAAAGAGAAATTTACAATATGGCATGATTGAGCCTTTAATAAGAAATACAACTATGTAAGATTTGGCTCCTCTGTCAGTTTTCTGAGTTAGGGGAAAAAGAGCAGATGTGGACCGATGTTGAACAGTATCAATTCTCACTGGATGAAATGCTATTTGGTTTGAATCAGGCAGGTCAGCTCTTAATTGAACTCTAATTGTTTTATGCTCAATGATTTTTTACAGTCCCAGTGGATTTTAATTTCCTTAATGACTGGAGACTGATTTTTTCCTTCCACTTTGCTGAGCATAGTGCTGGATACATAATAAGTAATCAATACGTGATTACTTGAAAAAAATAAGCCTAATAAATAACCTTGTCTCAATTAAAAAAGGATTAATGTTGGCTGTGTTAGATTCAAGGTGAGCACAACTAGTAAGATTGGGGTTTAGGGCTTTAAAAAAATCTTACTGAGGCAAGTTGGTGAGTGGTGGTCTCCAGCTTGCATTCATATCATCTTTATGTTAGGCACGACTGTGCAGTTTCAAGAAAAAGAGAGCCTACTAGGGATGTGCTGAGCTCTTCCACCATCCTCTAACCTCAGTATGTCTAAAACTACATAACACATCATCTTCCTTCAAATTCACTTCTTCCATCATCCATCCATCCACTTTTTTCCCCCCAACAAATGTCTGTTGAAAGCCTTTCATGCCCAAGTTACTGTGCTGGGTATCAGTAATACAATGGTTAGTAAAAATAGGTTCAGTTGATGTTATTATCATTCTAGTCTAGTATATTGGGCTTAAAACTATGACATCATCCTTGACTTTTCTCTTCCCGTTTCCAAATTTACTCAGGCAGAAATTCCTGTTAAATGTATCTTCATTTTGTACCCTTTCCAGTCCCACTGCTATGGCCTTACGCCTAGACTGGGTCTCTTCCAGCTGCTTCTGTAGATCTTCTGTCCACTCTGTTCTCTGCCACTGGCTTCCAGCTGGATGTGGCCAGCAGGAAGCAGTGACAGAAGATCAGAGGGTGTGAAGAGGGTACGGTGAGGGCACATATGCCACCAGCCCTCTGCAGATTGCCATGGGTTGGCTGGTTCGTCTGGAAGTGATAGCTCCAGTCAGGCAGCCCTCTCCAGAGTGGCAGCCACCCTCTCCTGGCTCCTCTGGTTCCTGCAGGCCTGGGGGTGGTTGTGGCTCTCGTCGTTGTACCACTCTTCTTTTCGAGTTTCCTAAAACCATGCCCACAACTTTGTAATATTCCCTTTGTTGATCTTTCTTGAATTACCCGGCTTGACTGCTCCCTGTTTCCTGCAGGCCCTTGGCTGATCCCAGGGAGCTACCCCAGGAGCGTTCTAACAGTTTCCTGCCGCCTTTCTCTCTTCAGGCCGGTCCTGAAGATTTATCTCCCACAGATCTGGCCAAATCACTCTTCTCCTCAAACACTCCCTTCTCTACCTAACAAAATACTGATTGTTCTTGATGTTGGGTGTTCATGATCTGGCCTCAAACACCTCTTGTTACTCACATGGCATGATGGTTTTATGCTTGTTTTCCAAATATTTCTTCCCCACTCCTATTTTCCATCTAAGTTTTCTCTCTAGAACCTTAAGAATATTCCTCAAGAAAGGCAAAAATGAGGTGCAGGACAGAAAAAGCAACAATTATATTTTTGTAGCAACTGTTGGAAATTTTCCGTTAACAAAAGAGAACCTATAGGGAGATCCGCACCCCCCCTCACCCCCAAGTAGGGTACAGACATGAAAGGAATACCTTTCATGTTCTTTCAAAGCACACTTTGGTCAGTAAAACACATTTGTAAGCAATGTCTTTCTTTATTGTTTGGATACTGCATTAACTTAGATTTACTTTCTAAATGTTAAAGAACGTTTGCCCCTTTTTGGTAGTGAAAATTATTAGGGATGATTCAACCATTCTTCAGTCCTGCTGTGAACACAGTTATTTTGAGTATTTTGTCTGGGAAATTCAGTGTGCCAGTAATTTGATAAAAAAGAAAAAGACTCTTAAAATGCTTACATTATTTCCACATGGTTCATTTTTACTGATTTATAATTTTAATTTGGAAGTTCTTGAAGGGAAAATTTAATTTTGAAAATTTCTTATTCATAGACAAAATCTGTCGTCATGTGCGTCAGTTTTAGTCAGAAACCCATACAAAAGATCCATTATTTTTGTTTAAAAAGGAACAAAGAAGGTATAGCATTAAGATTTTATGTAGTTAGTGTAGGTAGAAAAATTACCAAACATTGTGCATTTGCCTAGGAAGTACTTTGGATTTTAGGATAGTAAAAATCATGGTAGCATTTTGGAATTGACCTAAGTTGTTTTGCTCACTGTAAAATACACGCTGGTTTCTGTTTTTCAAAAATTGACAAATGCAGTTTTCTACACGTGCTGAAATCTTACCTGTATGGTAGGTAAGCACCGTTCTTAAAACTTCATCACCAAATCCCAAGGGAATGAAATTGGTATTAGGCTTTAGATTTGACTTCTATAAGGAGTTCAATATGAGAATGAAGGATTGATATAAAAAGGAAAACTGAAATTCCAGAATTTTAGGGATATTTATATTCAAAGAATACAACAACAGAAAATGTAGATCCATTATTAAATTACATTTTCTATTATATTTTAATTTATGAAGTAAGATTGCAATGAGTAAGAAATCTTTTTGTGTTTTTCTTAATCAAAAATCCGGAACACTTTTTGTAAATAACTTTAGATTTATTGCAGATTAGGCAACTGAGTCCTGAGTACTTTTCGCCTCAGGAAAGCAACTTTGTTGCCACGCAGCCTTCAATTTATCTTTGTAATCATAGACCATTTACAAACATGTATTAATCAAATTTTTCTTCTAAATTTCCCACCTATGCAATATTAAGAATACACAGGAAAGTTACAGCTATGCCGAATAAACATTAATTCTTGGCCCCTCTTAACCAAGAATTATTTCTAAACATTATTAACCCATCATTTTTTAGAATACATCTATGAAAAATAAAAACAATGGATAGAAATCTAAAAATATGACCACATATGTGGTAAATTCTATAACCTACACTTTTCGTTTT